TCCTAGGAACTGATAAAGATACCTAGGTTGCTGCCTACAACACTGAAAAAGAAACTAGCCCTGGCCCTGAGCCAAATTCCTTAAACTCTCATATAAACTCCATACCCTGACCCCCTCACTGCAGTCATACCTAGGTAGAACACCTGTTTTCTCTTGCTGTCCATTTTGAGGACTGCTGCAGCACTCTATATGTTTCCCTAATAAATGCTTTGAATTGACCACTCTGGCATTTAGTGTTTCCTTCTTTCTTTGGAATCCCAACTGGCCCCATCTCTGGACAGTTTGGGGCATTCCCTCATAGGAAATCTTCTGCCATTATTTTTAGGGGTGATTCTGGCCACAGGTGTGATGGGGTGAAACATGCTATAGTCTCTTGGTGCTTAGAACTTGAAGTTTAGAAAGAGGGAGAAGGGGCTTGCAACAAACACAACACAGTTCTCCCCCTTAAGACATTTGAATAAGGTTTAACATTTGATTGAGTATGAAACAAGGAATGAACAATTGCAAACTGAAAATTTTAAAACAGTATCATATACAATAGTATCAAAAAACATGAAATACAGAACTAACAAAACATGTGCAAAAGTTGCATGTTAAAAATTTTAAAACATCATTGAGAAAAATGAAAGAGGACCTAAATCAAAGGAGATATACTGTGTTCACAAATTGGAAGATTCAATATTGCTAAGATGCCAGTTCTCCCCAAATCAATCTATACTCCAATGAAATCTAATCAAAATGCCTGCAGATATTTTTTTTGTCAATATCAATCTTTAATTCTAAAATCTGTATGGAAAGGTAAAGGAACCAGTGTAGCCAAATCAATTTTGAAAAATGAGAACAAAGTAGTAGAACTCAAGCTACCAGATTTCAAAATTCACTGTAAAGTTATCAAGAAATCAATTTTATGCTGTTAAAATCACTGGCAGTTCATTTCAGAAAAAAACACTATTCATATTTTTCTGGAATATTCTGTTCTGTTGATAAATCAGAAACATGTATTCACACATACAGGATCAATTCATTATTGACAAAAGTGCCAAGGTAAGTGGAGAGAGGAGTCTCTTTAACAAATGGTTTTGGAACATTCACCCTTATGAAAAACAAATACACCTCAACTCTTGCCTGATGTTATACACAAAAATTAATTCAAAATTCATCAAAGACCTACATGTAAAACCCAAAGCTATGAAACTCTGAAGAAAACATAGAGGAAAATCCTGTTACTTTGTGTTAGGCCAATGGTTTTTAGATATCACACAAAAACATAAAATAAAAAATTAGTAATATTGGACTTCATAAAAACTTTTGACTTCAAAAGACATCATGAAGAAAATTGAAACCAGCCCAATTTCCTCATAGAACTGATGTTTATGGTCTTTTTAAAGAAACAAAAATTGGCCCTCCTGATCTTAAGCTTGAAAGTTAAATTTGTCTTATCTGAGTTCCTTTCTTAGAAAACTGACCCTCAGGCCTCCTAGATAGTATAAAGGAACTGAAACTCACCAGATCACCACATCCAGACAATGAGACACCAGATTCCTCTTCCTTACCCCTCCCTAATTCCTGTTTTCTACATTCTTTCCCTGGTATTTAAATTTCCAATTTTAGTCAGTTAGAGAGACAATTTGAGACCTATCTCCCATCTCCACAGCTGCAGCACCCAAACAAAGCCTTCTTCCCTGGCAGTACTCTTTGTCCCAATGATTGGCTTTCTGTGCTGTAAACAATGAGATCTAGATCAAACCCCTGGCATTTCCATAATAAAATGTTTTAAAAAGGAAAGATGTGTCACATACTGGGAGAAATTATATGCAAATTAAATATCTGACTTTTGTCATATATGTACATATATATGAATGATATGGGCAAAAGATACAAACAGAAACTTCACCAACTTTACCAAACTTCTTCACCAAAGATACAATAACAAATAAGCATGTTATTCAACATCATTAATCACTGGGAAATGCAAATTAAAAACAGAATGAGATACCCCCACACAGCTATAAGAATAGCTAAACTTAACAAAATTATCACCTGCTAACAAGGCTGCAATTTGGCAGTTTCCTGTAAAATTAATACTTATCATATAACCTATCAATCCTACTCCCAGGTATTTATCAAAATAATTAATAACATATATCCATACAAAGACCTGTATGGGAATATCTATAACAGTTTTACTTATTCATAATTACAAAATACTGGAAGCAATCCTAATGTCCATTTGTTTGTGGTACATCCATTCAATAGAATAGTACATAGCAATGAAGAGAAATGAGCTACTGTTACATACAACATGGCTAAATCTCAAAAGCAATATGCTAAATAAAACAAGCCAGACAAAAAGTGCTATATATGTTATAATTCCATTCATATGACATTCTGGATAACACAGAATCAGAAAACAGATCATTGGTTGATATGGGCTTGAAGTGGGGAAGAAGCATTGACTACAATGAGGTACAAGAGAACTTTCTTAGCTAAATGGAATCATTCTATATACTTATTGTGGTAGGTATACATTATGGTTTGGCTGTGTCCCCACACAAATATCATCATGAATTGTAACTCCCTAATCCCCTTGTGCCATGGAAAGGACCCCGTGGAAGGTAACCGAATCATGAGGGTAGGTTTTCCTGGGCTGTTCTCATGACAGTGACTAAGTCTCACAAGGTCCGATGGTTTTATAAAGGGGAGGTTCCCCTGCACACACTCTCTTGCCTGCCGCCATGTAAGATGTGACTTTGCTCCTCCTTTGCCTTCCACCATGATTGTGAGGCCTCCACAGCCATGTGGAACTGTGAGTCAATTAAACCGCTTTCCTTTATAAACTACCTAGCCTTGGATATGTCTTTATTAGCAGCATGATAACAGACTAATACAGTACAGAACTCTATATTTTCCAAACTATACACATAAAAGTTCATGGAACTGTACACATAAAAGGGGTAAATTTCACTATATGTAAATTATATATCAATAAATCTGACTTTAAAAAATAGCTAAGAGCATACTAGGAAAAATATTAATTTTAATTATGTCTCAACATAACATACAAAGCACCAATATCCAGGGTATGCACAGTACTCCTACAAATCAATACCAAAAGGATCACCAAATTTAAAATTGGGTGAAGATAAAGTCAGGCAACTCACAGAAGATCTAGGAAGTAAAATTATAAAGTAATAACCATTATTTTCCCATCAGAAAAATAAGACTTTACAACCAATAAATCAAGTGTTGATGAGTCTGCAAGGCAAAGACCTCAAAGAGTTGCATCAATGGGGATGATGAAATTTCAACTATATTCATACTTGGCTAAATTGAAAAGCAGAAAAATAACCTTTTAAAGAGTAATTGTCTTTGCTATTACAATCAATGGACCTCTGCCTAGATGAGCTGAGGTGGTCCTGAATACTCTGGTGAGTTTCATCAGTGCTGGAATAGTCAGTTAATCCTTCCAGACACCGGAGGTATCCACAAAAGATTCTAAGGATTTACCCAACCACCAAGCAAAGAGTGATGTCCAGATAACCACATAAATGGTGACAGCCCCTTGATATTTTGAAGGAATAAACTCAAGTGTGAAATGAAGGCGCAGCAAAATTTAAAAGAACAAAGAAAATGAAACTGACAAATGTATTCTTCTACTAATTCATGTTGATAAATGGGAAGAGTCTATAAATTATAATTTATGCAATTTGCTTAAGTATTCTCAGAATCAAAGCTTTCTAATGGCACAATTTCTGAACTGGGTTGCTCCTGGGTGATTTAAGGAATTTTCCGAGGATATTTTTGACTGTGTTCAACACTGACCTGACTTAAACACTCTTTTAATTATTTATTGTTTATTTTTTAGATGGAGTGTCACTCTGTGACCCAAGCTGGAGTGCAATGGCACTATCTTGGCTCACTGCAACCTCCGACTCCCGGGTTCAAGCGATTCTCCTGCCTCAGCCTCCCAAGTAGCTGGGATTATAGGCATTACAAGCGCATGCCACCAGGCCAGCCAATTTTTGTATTTTTAGTAGAGACAGGATTTCACCATGTTAGCCAGGCTGGTCTCGAACTCCTGACCTCAGCTGATCCAGCCTACGGCAGAGTGAGATCATGACTCCATTCCATAAGATCACCAAAGGCACAGATTCTGTCTTACAACATTTACTTTCTCCTGCAAAACACCTAGGTTAGTACTTGGACCATGAAGTAGGACCTCAGTTACTTTAAGGAGTAAAGAAAGAGAATACGAAAGAGTCCTCTCAATCAAATACATCCGGGTTGACTATTCAGAAATGAAAAGGGCAAGACCCAATAGAGGCAGGGAGCAAGACACTCCAGATAAACAGGTGAGCCCACAGAGAGATCAGGACACCGTGCAGCCGGCACAGGCTAAAAGTCATACAAACAGCCACGCTTTCTGAGCCCAGATTGCTCAACAGTAAAGGCAGGTTAATCATTACGGGCCCTTCCTAGGACCGCTGAGGCTATGATCAGAGATCATACAGATAAAGCACACCTGGGGATGTACTGATCCTACATTTGACCCTCACAGTCATCCTGAAAAGAAAGCTGGGGAAGGAGCTGAAGGAGGGGGGCTTGGCACCTCATTTTCCCAGGTAAGACGGGAAATGATTTATCTAAGGCCTGGGGGCCAATTCGAAGTTGGAAGCAAGGCGGCACCCCCAGGCCTTCTGCCCTTCAGGCTACCTGTCTGGCAGGGGAATCCCAAGAACAAAATCCGAGGTCCCGTAACTTTCACAGGAGTGAGAAGGGACCAGGGAAGGCTGAGGAGGGGAGGGATCTGGAAAGTCTGGGGAACCCCTTGGACGCAGGGCGAGGACGAGGACGAGAAGAGCGAGCGGACGCCCCGGCCAGTCCCCACGCCCCCCACACTTTGACCCCACAATCTCTGCGAGGATCTCTGACCTTGTTGCATTCCGGGTCCCACATTTATTCCACCCCCATTCCCCGCCCAGACCCCGCGTCCAACTCACAGAGGCCGCCGCCGCCGCCGCAGGCGAGGGGCTCCATACCTAGCTTGAAGCCTCCCGCGTTCAGTCTGCGCCGCCGGAGCTGTTGCTGTCTGTTGCCACGGCAACCACGGGGCCGCACAGCCTAGCAAGCGGTGCGATGATTGGAAGAGGCAAGCGTCCATAGCAACCGCCGCCCCAGATGCTCGGTGCATAAGAATTTGGTTTCCAAGGATTCTTAGGACACCACCTCTCTCCAAAGCCACACTTACCCAGGCACTTGTCCTAGTTCTTTAAAGGTGCTTCGTGCATTATCTCATTGAACGCCTGCCTCCCAGTGTTGCTGTGGGAATCTCTTATCTCTACAGGAATTTTTAACCTGCGGTCCTTTGACCTCTTCAGGAGGTCCACGAATACCCTTAAGTTATAACCAAAAGTTTGTGGCCATTTACCCAGTTAGATGGTCCATAGCTGTAGATTCTCAAAGGAGCTGGAACCAGAACTCTGGTTGCCCAATGCCCAAGATGGCGTAAGAGTATAAATCTCTTATGTATTAACTCCATCTTCCTTCTCAGAGACAGCAGACAAATAGAGGGCGGTTCTTCCTAGACTCCATTTATATTTATTCAAATCATGACTTGAGACATTGCCCAAAGACTTTAACTCTTGACCTTCAGTCATTCATTCATTTAATAAATATCTATTGATGACTAATTATGGGTCATATATTTGTCATAGAGAAACTTTTCTAAGCATTGAAAGACAGCAATTGTCAAGGCAATTTCTTGGAGCTTTACTTCTGATATGGGAGACAACAGAAGCATAAACAAGATCATTTCAGATCGTGCTACTAAACAAAATGTTAAGACGTGATGAGCCCAATAGACAGGTGGTTAGGGAGGGTATCTTTGAGGAGACAATTGAGTTTGAGCTGAGATGTGGGAAAACACCAGCTATAGAAGAGGAAAGGAGAAGGCGGGCAGCACAAGAAAAAGCAGCAGAAAGTTAAAGGCAGAAATGAATTTGGAGTGCTTGAGAAAATGAAAAGTCAATGTGGCTGCCTCAAACAGACACACTCAGATTGCCCTTCCCTGGCTCTTCATAATACTATCTACTTCGTACTTTCCTTGCTCCTCTGTCCTCCATCACGCCAATCATGTCACCCTATTTATTTCCTTCAAAGCTCTTGTAACTTTTGATTGTCTGTGAGCTCCATAAGAGACTGAGTCTCCCTTATGGTATCCCCAGCACCTAAAATAGTAACTGGCCTGGTATGGACACTAAATAAATATTAGTTGATTGCATCAATCTACACATCACAATACTAGAAACTGTGGTTGAGTGGGAGACACAACAGAGAACAAGATGAAGACACTTAAGCCTTCGAGAAGCTTAAATGCTTGTGGAATAATTGAATTACAAACTATGTGGGCCAACTAATTGCATTCAGAATCAAATAATTTAGACTGTAAGTACTGTGGGAAGACATTGAAGGATTCCCTTGGCAGTTTTTTTCATTCTTTCAATTATATTTCAGTTCAATTTCACAAATATTGAATGCCTACTCTATGCCAAATGTTGTTTATAACAATGAACGAGACAGACACCAACTTTGCCTACAGAACTTACAGGTTACTGCTATACTGTCCACTACAGTTGCCTCTAGTCATTTGTGTCCACTGATCACTGAATATGTAGCTGGTCCTAACTGGAATGTGGAGTAAGTGTAGACTCCAGATTTCAAAAACTTAGTACAAAACAAGAATGTAAAATATCTCATTAGTATTTTTAATTGATTTCATATTGAAAAGATAATGCTTCAGATGTGTTAAAGAAGACCTATTATTAAAACTCATTTTACCTGTTTTTATCTTTTTTTAATCTGGCTGCTGCAGTGTTAAATTACATAAGTGCCTTGCGTTATATTGCTATTGGACTGTGCTGGTCTAGTGGGAGCTTAATGCTATTTGAATAAACAAGTAAAATCTTGTTGGAAATGTTAAAATAGACATTTTGGTACAAGTATGAAAAATAGCAAATTTCAAATAAAGAAAACAGATAAAGAATTTAAAAAGAAAACAAGTTAGGCAACTCTTAAATCTTCTGCATATTGAAGGTATAAAAGGGTCAGGAGTGGGAGATTAGAAAGAATTTCTAAAGAGGATTTTCATGAAGGATTTCTTCAAAAAGAGCAGAACTATGAGTCCCACCTCCAAGTCTCCAGTCAAAAGAAAAGGGCTTTGAGGAAGCCACTGGATGTTTAACATGTGGTACCTACAGTTCAGGTGGCACAGTGGGCTTGTGTCTGAACCCCACCCGGAAATTCTAAAGGGCAAGAGATATGCTCACTAGTCAGCCGACAGCAGAGCAAAGGAAAAACTGCTTGATTAGAAACAACTCTCCTTCTTCCCCTGGTATTTATAGGTAAAATATGTGTGGGTTTTTTCTATGAAGGAGATGAAAGTCACTCAAGAAAGATTGTGCAGGGTCATTTTAGACCCTTTCCATCTTGCTAAACAAAGAGGTCTCAGAAAAATGAAACTGAGTGCTATGGTTTGAATGTGTCCCCTCCAAATTCATGTGTTGAAATTCAAAGGCCAATGTGATACTATTAACAGGTGAGGCCTTAAAGAGGTGATTAGGTCATGAGGGATCCTACCTCATGAATGGGATTAATGACCTCATAAAAGGGCTTGAGGGAGGGAGTTCATGCCTCTTACTGTTTGGCCTTCTGCCATGTGAAGACCCAGTGTTCTTCCTCTCTGGAGGATGTGGCACTCAAGGTGCCATGTTGAAAGCAGAGACTGCCCACTCACCAAACAGCAAACCTGCTGTTGTCTTGATCTTAGACTTCCCAGACTCCAGAACCAGGAAAAATACATTTCTGTTCTTTATAAATCACCCAGTCTTGGGTATTTTGTTATAGCAGCACAAAAACAGACTAACACACTGAGTATATTGCCCAGTATCTAGGGATCAAGAAAAAGCAAAGAACCAGACAAAAGAAAGACGTGTTTGACCCCAGTAAGAGAACTGCAGGATACAGATTTCCAGCAATGAGAGTAAGTTATCTTGAAAGACTCTTGAAAGTGCCCCACCAGAGGATGTATCAGCTTAATCACAGCAGTATCAGACAAGTAACAACTTTCTTATTGTCTTTTCCTCTCCTCTGCCTATGCCCCAATGCCAAAGAGGCCAGCAAACAGTCCTCCAGCTGAGGGTACAGGTGTAAAGATGTCAACGAACCCACAAAAAAACAACAGAAGAGAGAGAAGAAGGTGGCTATGTTTCCATTCTCCAACTGTAGGTCTCCTGTCTGCAACAGGCCTAAAATAAAAGAGGAGAGAAGCTGCAACTTTTAAAAGTTTTGATTATCACCTTGGACAGAACATCTGAGCAATTGCATTAAGGCTGTGTTTTGACACCTACGAGGGTCCACAAAAGTCTTGGCACCTAAGTGAGTTTACTCAAGGGCAGGGAAATAATTGGCCACAAAGAGGAAATTTAAAGAGAGATCAGTAGACAAATATTAAGTTGCTTTATGACTGTCACCCACAAGTCATGCTTGTTTGGCTCAAGGGCTCCCTAAAAATATGAAATAGGCTATAAATAAAGACAGAAACATGTATTAATCTTGAAGAGTACAGAACAGTAGAAGATGTATAAAGTTAAAGTGCATATTATTTCAGGGAGGAACATGGATTATCTAAAATCACATAGCACCTGCACCTCAGACCTAAGACCAGTGATTAATCTCCCATCCCCAGGGGGTTAGGGATGCTGAGGCTGCAGAGACCAGTGGCCAGCAGTTATGGGGCTGCTCTTCTGAGGCTGGTATATTCTTAGTGCCAGATAGACAGGCAGGCAGGCGTGCAGCCTTCTCAGGAAAAGCAACAGAAAAACAAAAAAGCCATTCAGCTACAAAAGCATAGTGCACTGAAGGTTAATTACACTATTAAAAAGTAAATCAGATTTGAAAAAAAATATATTTTTTTGTTAACTTACATTTCCCCTAAACTAAAGAGGCTAACAGAAAGGATGAAGACTTCTCCATTCTTAATGAGAGCTGCCTGACTCCTAAGGAATACCACATTTGGATTAAGTTGGGCAGAGGAAGCCAGTGACTTTTTTCTAAGGAGTGAGCAGATAATTGAGTCATTGAGCAGTGAAAACTGAGGTTCTTCAGACTTCAGAGTGATTAAGGAAGCTGGTTACACTGAGAGCCCCAACCCTCTGCCTTACTCAGGCAGAGGAGGGTCCTGGGCAAGAACCTGGGTGACACATATCAAGAAATCCTAGACTCATCATTGTAAAACACCTTAGAGATCAACAGGTATAAAACTCTTAGAACATAGCAGTTGCTCAATACATGAGCAATGATTTTTCTATTAGGAGATGACTCGAATTCCACCACTTACTGCCTGTGTAGAGTCTGCTACTTAACCTCCCTGTGGTGCAGTTCCCATTTCTGTAAAAACAGGGGCAACTGCCATATAGGGTTCTTGAAGATTAAATAAGATGATAACAGTTGGGCATGGTGGCTCACACCTATAATCCTAGCACTTTGGGAGGCTGAGAAGGGTGGATGGATTGAGCTCAGGAGTTCATGACCAGCCTGGGCAACATGGCAAAACTCTGTCTCTACAAAAAATATAAAGATTAGCCCAGTGTGGTGGTGTATACCTGTAGTCTCAACTACTTGGGAGGCTTAGGTGGGAGGATTGCTTGAGCCCAGGAGGTAGAAGTTTCAGTAAGCCAAGATCACACCACTACACTCCAGCCTGGGCAACAGAGCCAGACCTTGCCTCAGTCAATCAGTCAGTCAATCACTCAATCAACCAATAACACAAACCAAAGACTTAGCAAATGAAAGCCATCATTATTCTTAATATCATTATTCTTCAGTCCAGTCTTCTTTTTGACATCATCCCAAATAGTCACTCAGCCTCTGTTAAAACTTCTGCTGTTCATTCTGTCATTTATTAAGGAAGCACTGACAGAGAACCTGCTAAGCACTAGACTCTGTGTTAGGTACCGAGAATACCAAGAGGAACATGACACAGTCCTTGACCTCAAGGGGCTCTTGGTTTTTTTGTTTTTAGGTAGCTTCCTTCCTTTTTTTTT